CCCAATAAATCCTCCGAATCGGAGGCTGCTGTGGACAGCACGTCTTCATCATACGGCATACAACCGAAAGACATCGCATCGCGAGCTTCCGGGGTAGGCCGCAAATTATCATTAACGAAGAACACGGGATCCCCGTAGCGCTCTTCGAGCGCTTGCACATGGCCCGGAGAGAGCGAGAGAAAAGGAGAAAACTCCGTTGACTCGCCCTCTAAACGCCTCGGTTCGCATGCGTCACCCCAAGCGACCGTCTCGTGCGGCGCCTCGGCAACCGCAGAAATGGGATAGCGGGGGTTAGACGCGAGGCCTACTTTATTTGAGAAGGCCACGAACCTCGAGCGCAGTGCTTTTAGCCATAGACTATCACAGTGTCGACAATCAGAAAGGCCGCTAAGTGCCGCTTGGGCATGCTGTAGGCCCAAACATTGCACGCACCTGTCATGAGTGTCTCCTCCTGCGATGAACCTGTCACACGGCTCGATGCATCTCCTGTAGCTCATCGTGTCCGCTGAAGAGGAGTAAACTGCTCTTTTTAGAGAAATAGCTAAGAACACGACTTTTTTTTTTTTTTTGCTTTCCTACGGGCGACAGATGATTCGCTTCCTGAAGGAAATGAAATCTGATGAAAATAGCGCGCAGCACGCTATATAGCTCACCTACGTGCGCTTTGGAGGCGGTGCTAAGCGCTATTTGGTCAATGAATTGGTGTGATGGTATAAGGGCTTCAGACATTCGTCACACCTAAGGTGTTCCCAAAGCGATGACGTCATCGCAGCATCAAGTGAGCCTATGAGAGGGAACCTGATGCACTTCCTCTTTTCTTTAAAGAGAATGTACTGCAGTGTGGTACAATACAAGTAAATGTAGCCAAATACTAGCATAGTATAATTCAATGACTTTACTTTTTTTTTTTAAGTTTTACTATGAGCACCTTGATGGCATTTCTATTATATACGTTGCCTGGTGCATTGCAGGTCCAGGGCGGCCAATAATGCCCCCCTTAACATTGTGTATAATATTGCAGGTCCGCGTCAACCAATCAGCTGCTCTGTAACAAACCGACGCCGTGAATTCTCAAGCGGAGGGAAATCCACGCGTATCCTTCCGCCTGGAGAAACTAGTGCCACACATCACTGAGTTCATGAAGAGCCCGTTCTTCATAAAAGCAGTAGGAGGAGTAGTGTTTATTTAATAATTATCTAATAATGGCATTGACTAACTTGTGCTGGATTTAATAAAAGATGCTCCAAACCACAGAATCCTATTCTAATACACACAAACATAAACATAGCCCCTAAATTAGCTTAGGTGTTTTTGTGTTATTAATAATCTAATAATGAGGTTCCACAGACCGCTCCTGGATAATTAATTAATCTCTGGCAATGAACTGAACAAAATGAGCAATTAACCACAAAAACATTTTTCAGTGGGGAAATTAATTTATAACTCATATAAATTACTGTTCCACTTCTGGGTTACAAAATTATGTGTATAAATAGACTGCATTAATTAGGTGCCTCAGACTGGACAATGCATAATTAATTAATCTATGACAAAAATCACAAAATTAGCAATCAGTCAATCTGTATGTTTGAGTGGCAATTCATCAACAGTTATTAACATCTTCACATTCTCTAAACCAGGGTCCAGGACATGCTAATATTGTGCAAAGATGTATTGTTTGGCACAGACTTGTATTAATCCATCATCTTAATGCTGAAATATTTCAGAAAGACATACCCACTGTTTACTGCATCGGTGTGTTTCGGTCTGCCTGCGCTCTAACGGCGCGTCTGATTGGCTGAGGGCCGCTCCGCACGCGCTGAGTCAGGAAGTGAGCGGCGGATGAATACATGTGCGCCTCTCGCCGAGTCCACAGCCAGAGCCGCTCCAGTGTACGCTCATCCCGGAGAGACCTGCGTTTAGCCTAGACTGGAGATTATCACGCTTTATTCCTCACAATCATGGTAAGTAATCATTTATTTCATATACTATTAACGCATTACTCGGCCAGACAGAATCTCAACAAGTCCGTTTGCATCAAATTAGCCTAACTATAGTTGAATAAGAAATATGCTTTTAATATAAGCGTTGCAGTTGTACAGATGTACGTTAACTTATCGAGATAATTTACTTCAACGATACGCATATTTTAAAACATTACACTTTATTTAGTTACCTGCTATAGTTCAAGAGTGAAGCCTGAATCTACAGCTGCGCAATTCTTACATCCTTTATCTTACATACGGGTTACATACATCAAATGATGTGGAATACATCCCATATGCTATTATTTTTTCTTTATATCTTACTACATGATAAAAAAAAATAATAATTTAGATCAACATGACATCACACTGAAACCTGTACTTGTGATATTTTATATATATTTTAATTAGACAGACTGCTTATGCCCATATCTGGGGTGTAGAGGGTCAGTAGGTTGGCGTGATAAGGATGTTTATGCTAATATTCGTGAAATATGATGGATGGGACATGAAGAAGATGACTGTAGATGTGTCTGAGATGAGGAGGTAGAGGATGTGGCTCCACAAGCGTCTGTTGCATCATCTACCTCCCTTTAAACCCTCTCCAAAGACTGAATTTTACACCAGCAGGGCCAGTGTTTCCCATCTAAAACCACTTTACACACATTTAAAGGCCTCACTAATGACAGGCAGTTGCATTTTAACCAAACCACAATGTTGCGTGGACTGAAAGGGTGTAGGCTTATGGTAATGGGCGCCCAGTTTCCTGTATTTTGTCTGTAGTCACTGTAGCTTATGCAAATAAAAGGTGTGTCGTTGTGAAATGTCTGTCATCTGGCGTTTTTTTGTTTGTTGAATCTGAGAGGTGTTGTTCGGCATTTCGTGTGTGTGATGTAGTTGTGGTCCATCCTAGTAAACCAAAACCTGTTGGAGGTTTTTTTAGCTTCCCTGCAGGAACCGGAAATCATTAGTTATGTATCTTTAATATCTCAGTTGTTTCTATTACACTCTAAAAAATGCTGGGTTAAATACAACCCAGTGCTGGGTAAAATAGGGACAAACCCAGCAATTGGGCTGTTTTGACCCAGCGGTTGGGTTACTACCCAGAAGTTTGGGTTAAACATTTAACCCAACCGCTGGGTCAAAACAGCCCAATTGCTGGGTTTGTCCCTATTTTACCCAGCACTGGGTTGTATTTAACCCAGCATTTTTTAGAGTGTAGTCTTCTAAACTGTGAAAGAGAGAACTCTGAGCAATAACATTTTCCTCTGGGCTTTTGTGCGTATGGTTTAATGTTTCTGGACTGGCAGTAGATATGAGTTTGGTTTATTGTCATTGGTTTGATCTCTGTATTGGGTTTGTGTGTGTTCTAATAGTGAGGAACAGCATCTGGTAGGAGACAGCTGTCCTGGGTGAAGTTATGATGTAATGTTCCCTGAAACACATGCTTTATGTGTTGGGACTCTTGAGGATTATGCTGTAGTGTGTATACTGACCTACATTCATTAGCCTGAACATTTTTAATAAGCAGTAGAACAGCGCTTCAGATGAACACATCTCAACGCAGATGGGTGACAGTAGTGTCACTGCACAGTAAGTACAGCTGGAGTGATTCGGTCATGCGGTTTCTGTAGGAGTTGAAGAGATCTTTTAGTATTCAGGTGTGCGATAGAAAATAGAGGAGGAGCAGTTCAAATTTCACTCAGTTTGGTTTACTTCTTGATTTTATGGTCAGATTCTCTGTAAATGCTCAATATGTTGCTATTAGAGATGCAGTAATTAGGTCATTTTTAATTAGCAGTAATTATTAATTTGATGCTGAAATAGTTTAATTAGCCTATGTTTTACAACTGAGACCAATACGATTTCCAATATTTATTTTACATGGAGCCAACTTGGCCTCATTCTTTTACAAAAATTACAGAAAATGTTGACATAAATTGAAAATGATGGAAAATTAAATATTGAATTGTCACTAAATTATATGTGTACGTAATGTGTAGTACATAATTTATTATTGCAATAAACAATTTATAAAGTTATAAATATATGTACATGTGTAAAAATTACAGAACAATTTTGACAAACTGAAAATGATGAAAATGAAAAAGTGTAATTGTCACTAAATTGTGTGTGTATGATGTTTAATACAACTGTAAGTCTGTGAAATTTACAGACAACAATTATGACACAACTGAAAAAAGTGTATGAAAAATGTAATAAAATGTAAATAAAAAAAAAATTGGTTGGGTATATAATATTTAAATGTAATATTGAAATAAAAAAATATACAAAATTATTAATATATGTATATGTATGGAAATTACAGAAAAAAATTTTGACATCAACTTATGAAAAATGTATGAAAAATGTGTAATAGTCACTAAATTTTGTGGGTATATAATATTTAAATTTAATATCAAAATAAACATTGTATGTATGCAGTTATCTATGTATAGGTACAGAAATTATATACAACAATTTTGACAAACTGAAAATTATGAGAAATGAAATGTAATTGTCGCTAAATTGTATGGCTATATATTTAAATTTAATATTGGAATAAACATTGTATATAATTATACATGTATATGTACGAAAATTACAGACAACAATTTTGACAAACTGATAATTATGAAAAATGTTTGAGTATGAATTGTGGTTTGAAAAGGGAATTAGCACATAGCTATGGCACAACTGATAAAACAGCCAAATATTTGCAGAACATTGGCCTGGTCGATATATCAGTATATATGCATGTATATATATATATATACATCAAGACAACTGCACTGGCAACTACTAGAAAGTACTATCAGTTCCACTCCTAACTGCCTATTAACTGTTGGTCTGATTTACGATGAACAGGTTTAGGAAAAGCAGCATGTTGTTGAACGTTTCGGGAATTGTCGGGTCTCAGAGCACCTGCTTAAATGTGCGTGTTTGTGATATCTTTATCGACCTACAACCACTACTTTCCATTTATTGGCCATTATAAAAGAGAAGTGATTCAGACAGTCTTCCACATCCCAGAGCAGCTGCGTCTGTTCCTCTGCTGCAGCGGCCCATCCCCCAGGGCCAGGATGAGCTTTGGGAGGGGGTGATGGGGGTTGCCTGGGTACTGGGCACATGGGCATGAATGAGGAATGAAATGAGCCGTACAGCTGGCAGCAGGAAGACCCACTTATCCAACAAACCAGTGCTCTTTCTTCATTATATCTGCCAGTGACTCAACTGCTGGAACTATTGGATCCAGTGCGTGTGCATTAGAAAGGCTCTTAAGTCGATGATCTCAGCTGCATATTATGGCATATCATGTGAGTATGGCTGCTTAATGCAGAAAGGAAGTAGAATAATTAATTAGTGTGATTGAAGTGATGGTTGTGTGTTCCTCTGTCTTTGGCCCATTAGCCCCACTCCTCCCCTTCATAATGTGGGTTATTTGTTTTCCTAGCAGCTCTCATCCACTTTAGCAAGCTCTTGAGACTCATACAACAAGCTTTTCTCTCCTCGCTGTTAACCAAAGGCCTGGTTTGTTGTTGGTCAGTGTCCTGTAATCTGATGCCACTGTATGAACTAAAGTGTTTTTGTTTGGATGTCACATGAAGTTTAAACACAAAATGTTTACTCTTAAAAATAAAGGTTCTTTATTGGCATTGATGGTTCCATGAAGAATCTTTAACACCCATAGTACCTTTCCGATGCATAAAAGGTTCTTTACATTTTTTTCTTTTAATAACTGTTCACTGAAAGGTTCTTTGAGGAACCAAAAATGGTTCTTCTATGGCATCGCTGTGAAACCCCCCTGTTGGAACCTTTATTTGTAAGGGTGTAGAACCTTTCAGATGCACAGAAGGTTCTTTATAGTGGAAAAAGTTTCTTCGAGTTATTGAAATGGTTCTTTTAAGAACTGCTCACTGAAATGTTCTTTTGGGAACCAAAAATGGTTCCGAAAACCTTCAATGGCAGAACCATTTCGGGTTCTCCTAAGAACCTTTCAGTGACCGGTTCCTAAAAAGAACCATTTTTTCTTAGTGCGAAGCCTTTTTCCTTTTCCACTTTAAAGAATCTTAATGGAAAGGTTCCATAGTTCTTAAAAGTTCTCAATGGAACCACTGATGCCAATAAAGAACCTTTTTAAGAGTATACTTCATGCTACAAGTGTCACATTATCAGTTTTTTTTTTGTGTGTTTTTTTTTTGTTTTATGGCAAATGATCAGACTCTTCTTGGTGTATTGAGATGCATTGCATTATTTTTTAAATACTAAAACAGAAATGTTTTTTTGCCTGTCTCTAATTAGTAACCAGCATTTCTTTTCTTTTTGATTTCTAGGCCGACCAGTTAACAGAGGAGCAGATTGCAGGTGAGAGTGCATGCATGTAATCAGATCACTTTGATTAGTGTATTTTGAAACAGACACTAAATACAGCTACCGCCCTTTTCTTATCTCAGAGTTCAAGGAGGCTTTCTCCTTATTCGACAAGGATGGTGACGGCACCATCACGACCAAAGAGCTGGGCACAGTGATGCGGTCGCTGGGTCAGAACCCCACGGAGGCAGAGCTGCAGGACATGATCAATGAGGTGGACGCTGATGGTGAGTGGCTTTGAAAGTACCAATAAATCACAGTTGAATGAAATTGATCACTGGTTTCTTTCGAAGTTTGAACAAAATATCTTAAAGGACACTCTTCACAAACTCATACTATGGGTTGAACTAGTGTTGGTGTTTGTTGTGTCAGATTGCTCAGACAAACAGAGAATGTTTGTTCAGGAAATCAGTCTACGAATGGATTATTTATAATTGGGTCAGTGACTCTTGATTTATTTAAAGATACGATTATAAATGCAATTTACAAAGCGGCATCAAGTAAAAAATTCTCAGGGTGATGCAACTGATATCATAATGAAGAAAACCTTATGTAGTTAGGTCCAAGATCTTCCATTATTATTTCTTAGAAAAGAAATGTATCAATAAAACGGCTTATTAATATCTATCTATCTATTAGGGATGTCACAATTCTCAATATAATATCGAACCGTTCGGTACGACATCCACGGTTCAATACGCTCTTGTGAATTACATTTTTTTCGGTTTTGCATTTAAATAATATCCGTGTGTTTTATTTCTCTCAGAATCTGTGTGTGTGAGTCCGTGAGTTCATGTGCTGAGATGAGGAAATGCCTGCCCGCTTATATTTGAAAAACACACGTCGAGCATCTTCCCTTGTAATGACATGCATTGATAAGCCTTTCTAAACCTGTTGTCCAACAAAAGAGAACATTATAACTTGTTTTTACTACACAACATCAGTCGAGTGTTTGAAATAAATTCCTTTTGTGATCTAATGTGGCTTCTTATCACAGAATGAGGCAGAAAATATATTCTATACTGTAATAAAGGCTATGTCGATTAGAAATGGCTTACAAATATACTTAATCATTATGAAAATACCCAAGATGTCTTTAAGAACACAGAACACATTGTCCTTGCGTTTCATCATTCAAAACGTTTAACGTTATATCTTCTTTTTATTCAGTTGCAGTGATTGCAATGTCTTTATCCATATCAGGGATTTCCTGGAACGTCATCAGTTCTATTACTTCTGTGATGCATGTGTGGATTTTCTGCGCGAGGGCGCCCTCTGGCTGCCAGAAACACACATTAATGTGTTTATAGCGCTCAATAATGGCCAATCCATCCTATTTTGGGGTAAAATTTAAAAAATAATACCTCTCTCAAAAGAACTGTTAAGTAATCCACGCTTTTTCCAGTGTGCAGAGCTTTATAGGAGTGTTTTGTTGTTAATTTGTTGCAGAAAACACTTTGATGTGCCAAGCTATCAGCACCGAACTGAACTGAAAACCATGGTTAAAAACCGAGATATGTATTGGACCGTGGACTAACTGTATTGTTGCATCCCTAGTGTTTAGACTAGAGCCCGACCGATATGGTTTTTTTGGGGGCCGATGCCGATACCGATATTAGGGAGTAAAAAAA